GCTGTTTAAGTCAGCCCAGTTTTAATTACCAAACCGATATCAATGTTATAACAGGCCAACCCTGAGATGTTAATGCTGATATATAATTCACCCCTAGTTATAAATGATAACGTTATTGTGAAATATCGGGTCAATAGAACTTACGAGCAGGTCAAGGATCCACGGGGTTAGAGGTTCAAAACCAGGGAAACGTGCCCCAAGGTCTTTCAGGAGACGGATCAGTACTTTCACTCTAAAGATTAGAAAGCAAACAGGAAAGTTCAGGTGGGTGAAGTAGCAACAGAAAAGCGTGCAGCACAAATTGGTGTCTAAAGAATAGTTCAAATACTCACGTTGACTGAGAGGCATTCTCCTCAAACCAGCGGGCGTGGCGGATGGCAGCCAGGGCGCACTGCAGCACCTCGATGTCCACTAAAGACAATACAGAACATATTATATTTATTCAAGCCATTAAAATACTGAAATGACAAATTCTAATGTCTTAAGCTCATCTCGGGTGCATTAACAAAACTGTATATAAGTTTATATTTAATTAACATTCTTAGGCTTCACAAATCATTTAATATCCAGGTATACTGTGTAAAAATGCATTTTTGTCTAAATTAAAAATGCAGAACTCTGCAAGTCCAAATAAACTAATACAGATTTCATTGCTTCAAATACTTCACCCAAATAACAAACTGCACATACTTTCTAAGTTTTCCCTGGATTTCAGGTGGCAAGGTAGCAACTTTAGCCCTTACATCACAATGTTTTTATCACTGCTGCTTAACTGCACTTAAAAAGAATTTTTGTTAAGTTAAGCTCTCTAGACTATTTAATTTTTTGGTTTACACTTGTGTGTTCAACACAACAAAATAAAATCTGCCTAAATCCAAGTCTGATGCTGCAGTTTAAGGGAAGTTTTATAATTTGTGTGGTTGTGGTGCGTTGTGTAGATGGTCATACGGTGCAGTTCTGGTTCCAGCTTGTGCAGATTGGGCAGGACGGTGGTGATGAGAATCTTAACAGTAGCATCAGCAGAACTTATCTCAAAACCAGTCTCATTGGTCAGCATGGAAAGCACTGAAAATAAGACATATACAGTCAGGACATTAATGGTCTTCAACTATGGAAGAAAAACAGTTTCATTGGAATCTGCCTTTTTTTTTAACACCAAATTTTAAACACTGAATTTTTTTTAGACATTGAATTCCTTACACTATAAAAATTTAGCCAATGAAATCAGCTCATTTCGTCACGTGACAAAGCTGTGATCGGCTCAGTTGTTTCACCCAGTCTGATAAGAGGATAAACTCTAATAGCTGTCTTGCGTTTTGTAATTTTATCTGTTTAACAAAAAAAATTCCTCATTCAGCCGGGAACAGCGCTGAGCGCAGCTGTTGTGTCACGTGACCAAATGAGCTGATTTCATTGGCTAGAAGCTGCTGGACTCCATCGAGTGTAGAACGCTTTGGCTTGAGATCACCAAAAGGTCACCACTTTTGAGGCAGAATTTTTTTCTGGTGAATTTCTACCAGATAAAAATTGAGTGTAAGGAATTCAATGTCTAAAAAAATTCAGCGTTTAAAATTCGGTGTTAAAAAAAAAGGCACATTGTAATGAGACTGTTTTTTTTCCATATTCAACTTGGCTTTAAAATTATATTGAGCAACTTTTAATCCTAAAGCTTTAGCAAAGGAATTAATCAAAAATGATGCTTTAATGTACAGGAAATAAATCTTAGACATAAAATTTGAAATATTTACCATGATCTTCACACTATTGCTCACATTAAAAGCATATGGATTCAATTTAAAATATTTTCCACAGATAAAATCTGTATACGGTAGGTTGCATTCATCTCAACTATTTCGAAATATATATTTTCGGAAAAACTCAAGAAAAAACTTGACATGTATGCCATGTGCGACATGAAATCGAGGTTGAGGTTCTTCCGGACAGGTGGAAGAAACTGGGTAAAAATCCTGGTAATAGATCACAGCTTTTAGAATTGGGATAGTTGAAAAACCACCAACCCACCAAGGAAACACCCTCGGGGAAAAGCCCATGAGTAAAAAAACATCAGGGAATCACATTTAATAGGGAAGTGATCATATTCTAGCCTTAGATGGTAGGAAAACGCTTTCTTTGATACTCAGATTCCACCAGCTGGCTTTATTTTCTTTAATTTCTAGTTTATTAAGCCCCACCTCAAGGTTAGAGGGACGATCTAATATAATGATTTGACAAAAGCTTTGTGTCCGTCAGTCTAATGACCTAAATCACTATAATCAACTTAAAAAAATAAAATAGGAGTCCTTAAATTGGAAAAAAAAAAAAAAAAAAAAGAGCTGGTGAGCCAAGATTGAGTACAGATGGATATTTCAGAGCTCCTGCAGGCTTAACATTGTTGCTTTAAAAACCGCATCTGCTACTAATGTTGAGCAAAATCAGATTATTAAAGGTTTTGGACTATGAAGAATTCCGTTCCAGCAGACGTTACTTCATAAATGGTGGATAAACTTTGCAAATTCAAGTACTACGGTAACGCTAAACTAACGGCTAAAACCAGAGCCACGAGGCAGCGTATTTCAGAAGACCAAGACCCACAACCTGAGAGCCCTGGTATGAATGAGCCGACATCCTAACCTCTATATAAGGGGAAATCTCTACAGTTCTAAGGGATGGAATGAGAAGTGCACTGTCTGAAGAGTTCACCACTCTCAGAGCTGACATCAACGCAGTGAGGGCCGAAATAGCTGGTAATGATGCAGAGGTGTCTGCTTTGGATTACTTTAGACAGCATGTCTCTAAATCACATAGTAAGAGAAAATTAAGGAGTTTGGAGAACCCATGAAGGCCATGGACTACATACGGACCATTCCCACTACGATAACTGGAACTGAACCGAAGCTGCAAATGCTAATATAACAACATTTACCAGTAGCTCTGAAATATTCTGTCTTTAGCTACTTAAATGCCAACAGTGATGATGTTTAACAAAGTCACTTGGCTAAACTGGTACATTTGAAAGGCAAATTACTAAAGATTACTAAGTCACAATCAGTCATAATTAAGCTGTAGTGATATCACTAGTGAATGTTACGCTGTGGTCAAAGTCAATGGCTGTGGGATGAGGGAGATTTATACATTTTTTAATATTTTTCAAACGACTCTTTTTCCACTGAAAAACACGCATAGACCCACTATTTTTAAACATGGGTCGACCCCCTAATAATTTCAGCATTGGGACCCCTTCCCACTGGCAAAAGAAGGTGGAGGTGAGGGTCTAACCCCATGCTGGCCAGACAGGGGGTGCACTTAAGTATTGCAGTGCTGTTATTTTAAGGAGAGGAGATTACATTGCATTTTATTTTAAGTAGAGAAGAAGGAAGGCTGGGAATTAATGTGTTAAAATAATTTGCTTTAATAGCATTTCATTTAGTAGTCACAATATGAAGCATTTATATTTATTAACAATTCTGTAAAAACATATTGCTCAAGCATAAAGTTTCATAGCCCTCAGACCAGTAGATTTTGACCTAAACTTGGAGCTCATTTTGTTTATAAGTCATAAAAAAAAAAAACTGGAAAAGGAGCGCAGACAACATCAGTGAGTGAAAGAAACCTTCTCTCAATATTACCTTCTGTGGGGTACTTAGCGCGAAGGGTCTTAACAACTTTGTTCCCAAGAGCAGCTACTGCCTCCCCTGTGAAAGATTAAAAGACATATTTTAAAATGCACAATTGTTTTCTTTTTCTTTTTTTACATGGTCGTTTAATTCTGATTAAGGATTACATTAAGCATGGATGCTAACTGAAATAATCCCCAACCAAGATAATCAGATCTTTTAACTCTAGTATAGTGATTCTAAAATAGTAAACTTGCTGAAAGAATAAACCCTTGTGAATGAGCCTAAACTGTACAGAAATTATAAACATTTTCGATTTAAATTAAAAATGTTCGTACTCTGTAAATCTGTTCTATCCAGAGAGGGGCAATTTGGGCTTCACCAAGCTGAAATACTATTTAAAACCCCCAAAAACCTCATACTAAGCACATTTTCCCCAATAAAACTGTTACTTGATAACTTTGTTAAATTTCTACAAGCCCAGACACTGAAGAAATTAGGCTGATGCTTTAATCTAAGGCATTTCTCAATATGTGTACTTGTGTGTTCTCACGCGCTCGTGAAACGTCATTTGCACCAGCGTTGATCCAATTCACAAGACCGAGAACAGAAAAAGTCTCCGGATGCATTTCTTCGCCCCTCCCTCTACTCAGCATGCATCAGTGCTGACCTGTGCTTTATCCAGCTGTCCCAACATGCACCGTGGAAACAGCAGCTTAAAGCGGAGCGCCAGTTAAAATTTCACTTTTCTGTAGCCATTGTTCTACAAAAGTTGGTTTTAAGATAATTTGAGAAGTGAATATTATACTTTTAAATTTGACTATATAGCCCATATATTAGAAGAAAAAAAAAAAGATGGAGGGTTTATGTTGGTTTATTTGGCAATTGATTTGTGTTAATCTGACTGCGTTAATCCTAATTCCCCCACTAAATTAATGGATTTTATTATCTAGACACCATTAATAACAGGAGGTGAAATACAGATCCAAACGAGCTTTGAATGTGGTGATGTCACGAGTACGCGTTTGTTCCAATTATTCTGCTTGCTCCGTTCTCTACGAGTGCAAACTTTCTGTGTTCTAGTCAAGAATGGACTCGGCAGGAAAACGAGTCCATACTGGCATTCTTGTGAATTGAGAAACAGCCTGTCTATCAAAAAATTTGGTCGGCTTAAAAATCTCTTTAACAGGAAGACATTTGTCCCTTTATGGGCATCTGTCTTGTGCGAGCTCAGACCAAACATGGTGTCTAGGGGTGTAAATAATACTCATTTTGCATCGATGCATCAATCCAACAGCCGACGATCCGATGCATCAATACGTCCGCAGAAGAATCGATTCATGTTTTTTTGTTTCCTCCAGTCTATTTTTATCCATTTGCTCCTGGGCGTAATTCTCCCTCCCGTGCTGCGGTGGCGCTAAACCTATTTTGCCCTCCTACCTC